TCACAAGGTAATCCTTTCCCGCCTTGCGCATGCGCGCAAGGCCGGCGCCGGTCAGTCTGGTCCTGGGCAGCTTTTGCAAATGCCCGGGACTCTTGCAACTTCCTGCGCCTGCTTCTGCAGGCATGGGACACAACACCCCTCCCCCCTAGAATAAACAATACTGCGCCCGACATGGACGCCACCTTTGGTAGAAGGGTGTGAAGGAACCGCCTTATCATGGCAAATCATACTGTCTAATAGAAACTCCTTCAGTCGACCCAGGCAGCTCGTAGCGATGTAGCCTTTATTTCCGCACGCTTCTGGCGTCCACCGCGTCTGATGCAATGAAGCTCAGCTGGGCCCTTGTCCTGACGATCCTTGGACCTCTTCCCAGCTGCTTGGTAACGCTTGTCCACCTTCGTGTGGATGGTTGCAGTCACTGGAGCGCTTCAAGTGGGCCGCAGAATCTTGGCCACTCCACCTGCAGATCTCTCTGTTGATTCCCCAGCTCGCTGATCTCTCTGTTGAACTGTGTGTCTCCAAGCCCTGATCGAGGATCAGGGTCGTCGTCTGCAGCCGCACGCACCCTCCAGCGATTTGTACTGGCAGGATAACACTGACTTCCACGCCGTTCGAGGATCAGGGTCATCTTCTTCAGCCGTACGCACCCTCCAGCGATTCCGTACTGGCAGGATAACGCTGACTTCCGCGCCGTTTCTTTCCCGGACTTCTTTGGGTGAGTCTTCTAGCTTTTCTTAGCTGTAGAGACTGTATCCCACCCTCGTCGCCAGTGTTAAGTCCTGGGAATAATGGCGCTTGAGACGAATCATCTCCAACAAGTCTTTATTGTTTGCTCCACTCTACGAACAACGACAACTCCAGAGGTGCGCAAGCCTCTATATATACTCTCCAATCCCCGGACAATTTCCCCCAGTCACAAGGTAATCCTTTCCCGCCTTGCACATGCGTGCAAGGCCGGCGCCGGTCAGTCTGGTCCCGGGCAGCTTTTGCAAATGCCCGGGACTCTTGCAACTTCCCGCGCCTGCTTCTGCAGGCACGGGACACAACACCCAGGAAGGAAGAAAAAGTCAGCCCAGGTTGGCAGAAGGCAGCTTAAAACTGCTCAGCTAAAAAGCTAGTTGGCTAGATACAAGAAAAGGATCATTCTTGTAATAAGACAGGAACATGGAGGGGATTGAATGCCAGGTTTGGAGGTGGCAAGGCAGAGGGGGAAAGAAGAAAGGAAGAGTATTTGGACCAGTGAGGTGAAGAGCTCTGCTAGGTGAGCAGAAAGACTGCTTGTGAGCAGGAGGACAAAGACAGAAGGCTAGAGACTTGGGGAAGGGAATCCAGGAAAAGCCTTTGGCCCTTTAACCAATGTGGAGCAAGAGCAGCTACCAGTTTCTCCAGTGAGGAACCTGCAAAGTGGATGGAGCCACTTTGGACTAGTGGTTAAGGCACCAGGCTAGAAAACAAGAGTTCAGGTCCTGCCTCAGTCATGAAAGCCAGCTGGGTAACTTTGAGCCAGTCACTCTCAGTCCAACCCTCCTCACAGGATTGTTGTGCGGAAAATAGGAGGAGGAATGTATGTTGGATATGTTGGCCACCTTGTTATTTGTGAAAATAATAAAGGCCGGATACAAACAAACAAAGTGAACCAGATTCTTTCTACCCACAATAGCCACCACCTTGAAAGGCTTCCACCAAATACATTTTTAAATTAGTGGAAAAGACCTAGAGGTATTCCTCAATTTATGACCATTTGTTCAGTGACCCAAGTTATGATGCTGCTGCATGAAGGAACTTACACACTGTGACCAAAGTTCTGGCCATTGGACACATGATTAAAATTCCAGGGCTTGGCAGCCCACCTGCACTTAACAAACATAGGGGTGCTGCAACTTCCCACACCTATTTATTTCCCTCCATCTCTGCCTCTGGCCACCCTCCACCTGTGCAGCCTTCAGAAAGCTTTGTGGCTGGGTGACACAAAGAATGGCTTGACTTGACCTGAGTTTGTGCTAAACAACCAATGATTCTTGGTTAACTACAATGGGGAGTTGCTGTTGCAGGTTGGTGCAGTCATATAGCATTGTTTTATAACCACACACAATAGCAATCCCAGTCACAACTGTGGGTTTACCTGTGATGCCTTTGAGCCATGTGTTTTGGAGAAGGGGCGGCAGCTCGTCAATGGTTGTAAGAAAATAGAGCACCATATCCCAAGCAAATTCTTTCAGGTTGCTAACATCCTTTAAGGTATATTTGCCTTCTTTGAGGGAATCCTGTCAATGACAGTGACTCCTCTGTGGCCACAAAGGGAAAAGAGACTCACAATTTATATTTCAATACAAATTGAATAAAGAGAGGCTGCTTCTGTTGCATGATGCATCTCCCAAGCTGGAGGAATCCCCCAAATTAGGAGCTGTTTCTCCAATCTTAGAAATGTAGAGCTGGAAGGGATCTTGGAGGTCTTCGTCCAATCCCGCAAGGTTGCACATAAGGGGTGGATTTGCATTGTGACAGACATTTTAAAACCCTTCATGGCATGAGACTAGATTATCTGAGGGACTGTTTCTCCCCAGATATTTCAGCCCGATCTATATTAGATGTGGCAGAAAAGGCATGCTACAGATGCCATCAGTTAGAGATCTACATTTGTGCATCCCAGAAGACATACCTGCCATGGTACCATATTATGGAGCATTCTCCCCCCCCTCTGAAATTAGCTCCATCTCTTTTGACATTCTGGAACTATATTTTATATAGTATATATTTGGGAAACTATATAAATTTGATAAATAATACATATATACATACCCCCCATTCCACTCACAATCAGGTGGAATTATGCATTAGTTTTCCCAGCGTTGGTGTACAGCCACCAATTATCCAACTGCAAGTCTTTCAAAAATGAAGCCCTTACAGCTGGTGAAGAATAACTTCTAGGTATCAACTTCCAGATTCTTTTGATCTCTGTTTACAAAATAATGGAGAGAAGTCTCATAAGCCCATGGTTCCATTTCAGTTTTGCACTAAACAGGCAAAAGTTATAGGGCTGCAGCTGGGGTAGACCAGTGTCTTAGAGCTACTGAATCCAACTTTGTAAGGAAACAACAGTATTATGAGAGCAAACGAAGTTGATCAGGAATCAGAGGAGATGTATCAGCTGGAATAACCAATAAATGCTGCTTGGTCCTGGTCACCTGACTTTCCCTCTGATGTAAAAAGGGGTGAAAGGTATCTTACACAAACAAACCTTATAGTTGTTGTTGGATCCCATTGGCTTGAAGGAGGGAGTGGTGACAAAGGACTTTTTAAGCATGTCTTGCTCATGGGGATGGGGAGAAGATGTTACCAGTAGTATTATTTTCATGGGTATGGCAGAAATAAGATGCTGCCAGGGTATATTTGTATTTTATTTAGGTGCAAATGAGGATGGGCTCTGTGATTCTCTGTAATGGAAAAATGAGAAAAAATGTTTACTTACAATGCAGCATTTAAGGTATTCATCAGATTCTTATTGTAACATAGAGGGTGGGTAAGGGAACTTGTCCAATCTAGGAATGCTATGTCACTATAAACTGTTAATTCTGGGTGATGACCAACTTGAATGGACTATTATGTTGAAAGAAAAATCTTCATCAGGGTCCAGTCCAAGCTGGGAATAAACAAAATGGAGACTGCTTTAGAAAGAAGGTTGTAGTTTATTGAAGAACAGAACCACAAAACATGTGGCTCTGCAGCAGCTGACCACATGTTGCTGGGAGTGATGGATTTTTATACTTTCTTGGGCTTTTGTGTTCCTGTGGCATGAACTTTGACCTGAGGTTCAGTGTGTCCTTTTGGTATTCTAATGGTAGTGGGTTAATCCTATTATGGCCTAAAGGTCATATCCTGCTTCCCTGGGGATGGGGATGGGGCTGATGGCTGTCCTGTGTTGGATTGGTGAGGGGTTGCTGGTTCTAGGGATCTTTGTCTTTCTAATCCTATCAGCTCTAAGCTTCCTGGCTCCAGTCTTTCTTTCTTTCAGTCTTTCTGAAAGGATTATCAAATCTGCATTTCTTCAGACCTGGCTTCCATTTCGAAACGGATGAGCCCAGTGTTACATGACACTTTGTAGGATGCTGCAAAAATAATAAATTTCATCAAAAGCCGGCCATTGAATGGACGTTTATTCTGGCAATTAGAACCAGCAACCCCTGAGGTCAAAGTTCATGCCACAGGAACAACTCCAAAGACAAAAACCCAAGAAGGTATAAAAACCCATCACTCCCAGCAACATGTGGTCAACTGCTCCAGAGCCACATGTTTTGTGGTTCTGCTCTTCAATAAACTACCATCTTCTTTCTAAAGCAGTCTCCATTTTGTTTATTCCCAGCTTGGACTGAACCCTGATGAAGATTTTTCTTTCAACAATTACAATCCCAGTTTTATTATTGGCCCCTTCTGTCCAGGCTAGATCCATCATTCTAGCCTCAATAAAAGCAAGGCTATATTTTAGGGCCATTTTTCTACCGTTCCACTGTTATTCAGCATATATTTTACCTTTTCCAGTGAAAGAACTAATGTAAACATGTTGATATTTTTATCAGAACATATTGGCATATTAAAGAAAAATATATATTAACAGTAGGAAAGCATCAGAAGGGCAATGAAAATTATTTCCACCCCAGCAATAGAACACATTTCATCGCATTAAAGTTAACATAAAAATAGTTTCTAGAGCAGGGGTAGTCAACCTTGGCTCTTTTATGACTCGTGGACTTCAACTCCCAGAATTCCTGAGCCAGCCATGCTGGCTCAGGAATTCTGGGAGTTGAAGTCCACGAGTCATAAAAGAGCCAAGGTTGACTACCCCTGTTCTAGAGTAAAGAGGCGAGCAGCAGAAATCCGTATTATCCTAAGGAGCAATCATTCTCCCTGCACTCCGCTCTCCCTTTTATTTGCAGTTCGCGCTGGTCCCACTAGTCGGCCTCAGCCACCCAACCTCTCCCGCTCGGCAAGAGGCGAGCGGTGCCATTGAGCTAGTGCACGAAGAAGCTGGCACGAAGGGCTGGATCAGGAGAGCGGAAGGGCCGGAAACCGAGAGTCGGGCCGCGGAAATCCGAGGGCGAATCGTGATCATGTCGCTGGCTGTCGGTGGGTGCTTCTGCTGGCTGCCAGGCAGCTTTTAGGTTTTCTCGCCTCCCAAAACGGAGCTCCTTCTTTTCCGCTTGGTCTCGTGAACTTTCCCCGATCAACTATCTGTCCGTTCTCTTTCGAGCTAGAGGAATCGGAAGCCAAGCGATGGGTTACTTATTGGTTTCTCCTTGTTAATTTAATAAGGCTGTTTCTTTTTCGTCTAGGCAAAATTGTCAGGAGGCTGGACAAACGCATTTTTTCGGTCGCACGTCCTGCTAAAACACCGTATTCGATAACCAATAGACAGTATTGCAAAACTGAGAAGGCCGATGGAAAAAACCCGCATTTCAAAGAAGCAGGTAAAGTGGAGCCTTCATAATTTCTTGACGAATCCTTTGTATGCTTCGTTGGGAAACAATTTACATGGTGTAGATTTATGTTCAAAAATGCAGTCAGGGGCATTTGAGTTTGATTTATAGTCTGCGTTTCCAGGAACTTGTGCCATCTAGTTCTACTAAGATCTGTGTTGTAATTAAATTTGGTTTTGATCAGACTTTTAACTTGGAACAAATGAGAAAATTTTAAGGGCCTAAAGAGTATGAATAGAAGTTGACACATCTGTGGGTTCACACAGTATGCTGAACCAAAATGTGATTGCTTGTTTTTCTTTCTTAGTATGTTATGTGAACTCAACCACTGTTAGCAAACCGTGGTTTTTATAGCTTGATGGTGTGTCAATCCATATAACTGTGGTTTGTTCTGGTTAGATGGACCATGGATTATGTTTTTGGATGAACACAGCCAGTAGATGACTACATTGTATGCTCTATTCCCTCAGTTTCAAAGCTGTTATATGCAGAAAGAAAAACTCCATTCTAGGAAGTTGTATATATGTACCAAACTCCCACATCCAAACCATTCAGAGCAAATTTTTAATTTGCCCCCTAGGAAAAAAAAATGATCGTTTGGTGTTGTGGTTAAGGTATCAGGCTAAAAACTAGGAGATCATGAGTTCTAGTCCCACATTGGGTACAAAGCCAGCTAAGTGCCCTTGGGCCAATTCCTCTCTCAGTTTTAGGAAGCAGGCAACGGCAAGCCTTTTCTGAAATCTTGGCCTTCTCCAGGAAGTCAGAGGTTTCAAAATTTGCTCCTTTTTGTGTTACAAGGAATTCACACTCAAGAAATATATGGAGCTAAGACTTTGTACAAATGTTGACATGGGGATGTCAAAACAAGATATTAAACATACTTAAAATTTATTAGAACAGAGTGGACCAATAATATACAGTCATCCCCGTATATAGATTCTGGGATGGCAGGGAAGGGTCTGGTGTCACTCTTTTTGGAAAAGTGGGTATATTAAATTAGAAAAAAAGGCACTTTCCTGTGTTGGATTTCTGTATCATTCCCTTGACTGAAGTATTTGAGAATATCAAGGCAGAGTAAATAGTCTATTAATAGCTGATAAGAAGGGGCCACTTAGTCATACAGTCCAATTCTTTGCTCAATGTATGAATTCAAATTAAACATTCCAAATAGATAAATACGTCTTTGCTTGAACAATCCAGTAAGGGGAAACAACTACGGTATATCAATGGGTAATTGATTTCAATATTGAACTGTCTATTGGCAGATAGGAGGAGGAAGAATATTAGGCATGTGCACCGGCCTGAGTTATTTATACAAATAAAGGCAAATTATAAATATATATATAAATAAAATAAAATCTTCTTTTTGATAGCTTAAATCCATTAATTTGTCTCACGTGATCTAGTTCAATAAAGAACAGATGTAGCCTTCTCTATATTACATTTCAAGTATTTGAAACATTCCTATGCAATTTTTTCTTCTGAAAATTAAAACTTTTCCAGTTCCTACCATCTCTTCTTGTAAATTTTTGTTTTTAGTCTCTCGTCATCCTTTTTGCTCTTTGAATATCTGTCTTGAATGACTTTTGAATGATTGTTTTGTTTGAATCCTTTTTAAAGTGTGATACACAAAGCAGAAAATAATAATCCAAATGAGATCAAACTAATAAGGAATAAATGAAAAATATTACTTTTTGCAATCTGTACTTCTGCATTATTGACTCATGCTCAGTTTGTAATTAATACACTTTCCCAATAACTTCCTCACAAGATAATTCTTCATTATCTACAGTATCTGTGCATTTTTCTTTCCTGAATGCATAACTTTGCATTTAGTGGTCTATATTTCATTCTGTTACCCTCAGGTTTATTTCTCAAGAGGTTAATTATTTGAAATTTCTCTCACATTCCATCCACTTATGTGTCATTTGCAAGTTTGATAAGCATTCTTTCCAACTCTTCAGCCAGCTCATTAATAAAAATGTTGAATACAGTAGAGGGCTTATAACTAAAGTCTGACAAGGAATCTTCAAGAAATTGAGTTATAGCTTTGGAGCCAATTACATATTTCTTTAATTGTCATGCCATTCCACCATTGTCTAATTAGTTGAATAATCAGAATATCATGATGTACAATATTTCCACAATTTATTAAGGAAGTTACTCAATCAAAATATGAGATAAGGTTAATCTGACTTTTTGACAAATCTGAACTGACTTATGGATGATAATTGTTTCAATATGTTTTCATATTGATCACTTTATGTTTGATCTAGAATCTTATTCATTGATAGCAGACTGACAGGTATGTAGTTACATACCACTTAGTTGGGATAGGTACCTGTTTTGATCATGATCAGTTTCTAGATTCTCTCACATTTAAGCAAGCCACAATTAGCATGTGAAGCTTCTTGAAACTAGGCTCTCTGCTTTAAAAGGGAATAGCCACTGAGAACACTTGAGACATTGATTATTAAATGAACAATTAAAGCTTCTCAATTAAATTAATAACTGAGCTACTTGTAAAGGCTTAGAGTTGTATTGAGCTACCTGTGACACAGCAAAATCCAATTGAGTCCAGTCCTTTGTTTGCTTATACTTAATGGAGAAAAACTTGCCAAACTAAAGCTTTAACCCTCTACCCTACTAATTTCCTAAGAGATCTAGGGTGTGACTACCCTGAACTTCTTCCTCCCTCCCTTATCCAGCTCAGGACTGTGCAGTTGTTTAATCTGAGCCTCTCTCTGAGAAAGCTCTCTATTCTCAAAACTCCTTCCCAATTGTTCCTGGAGGTGCACATTCCATTGCAGTTTATGAGTATACAGAAGCACGGAATTGCATACTTGGCCACTAGTGGCGCATTTGTCAGTTCCACTATTGTATCAATGAAACTGCACAGGAATCGTGTGCTATTTTTTGGTAGAAGTTCACAAGAATCAAAATAACAGACATGGCTGAATATTCAGATATAATGATGAGAGCAGTCTTTCTCAACCTTGGCAAGTTTAAGCTGGGTGGGGAATTTGGGGAGTTGGCCCACATAGCTTAAAGTTGCCAAGTTTGAGAAAGAGTGGGTTAGAGTGACTTGCAGAGTTTTTCTAAGGAATTATCCACCGCTGATGATAGAACAGTGCTGGCTGCATTCTCCTTCTGGGAGATCTGTCTGCTATTTTGAAAAACTACCTGTTTGTGATTGCAGCACTGAACATTGATTTTCCAGCATATACAGGTCATCCTTGACTTACAACCATTTGTTTAGCAATTGTTTGAAGTTACAATGGCAGTGAAAAAAGTGACTTGCAACTGCTCCCCACACTTAAAACTATTGCAGCATTCCCACAGGAACATAATCCAAATTTGGGCACTTGACAACCAACATGTCTTTGCAATGGTTGCAGCATCCCAGGGTCATGTGATCTCCATTTGTGACTTTCTTACCTGGCTTCTGACAAGCAAAGTCAATGCGGAAAGCTGGTTTCAATTAAGAACCGCAAGATTCACTTAACTGCAGTGATTTGCTTAGCGACCATGGAAAAAAAAAAGGTAAAACTGAGCTTACTTAGTGCCAAGCCATGATATTTCCTGTGACGCTATATGGAAGTGAAAGTTGGACTGAAGCAGGAGAGGCAGATTGTTGATGCTTTTGATCTTTGGTGTTGGTCGTGAGTACCACGGACAGCAAGAAAACTACAAGTCAACCCAGAGTTCTCACTTGAAGCACAAATGATGAGGTCAAATTATCCTGCTTCAGATATATTACATCCAGCTCACTAGAAAAGGCTGCTATGAAAATATCCCTTTGACCTGAATATCAGGAGAGAACAATGAAAGAAGGAATAAAGACAGGAAGTCTGGGAGTCACAGAAGTGAAATATCTACTTCCGCTATCACATGGGAGTGGAGAATGAATGATAACTGTACAGTTGCTTCTCTTCGTGGTGGGCTAAAGCTGTCTTCATTGTTGAAACTGGACAGCCATTAGTGCAGAATAGTATGGGATCTTTGGCTTGAGCAGGGTGTTGGACTACAACAGGGGTGTCAAACTGCTGGCCCGCGGGCCGGATGCATCATGGTGAAACTGCGCCCCACCCCATTGCCAGCAATGGAAAAAAAGTAGCGATATGTTGCGACACGTCACGTGACGTTGCAAGTTTGACACCCCTGGACTATAAGATCTCTCAAGGCCTCTTCCAACCCTGTTATTCTGTACTCTGTGTCTATAAAGTATGTTACCCTTAGGAAAACTGTTACCAAGGGGCTCCTTGGCTGTGATGCTGGAGTTCTGATGCTGCCTTTTGTCCTTGGGGTTTCAGGTGGGTGCATTTTCTCTTTTGTTTCTCCTGCAGGCCCCTCCTCTCCATTCAACCACAAAGTTTCTGAATGGGATAAGAAACTGTTGGTGTGGTCAGGCCGCTTCAAGAAAGGAGAAGATATACCTCAGGACATCTCGTATGTTCAGTTTTCTTTATCCACTAAAAATGATTGTTGCCAACACCAATTGTTTCAAGTAGATACCTATTTTTCATGTGTTGAAAAGGCAGATGGTCATGGGGTGGGGGGATGGCGGCATGTTAATACAAGAGCAGCAATCTGAAGCCAACGTGCTGCTTCCTTGGAAGCCCTGGTTCAGCTTTTAGTCTGAAGTTGACTTTGGACTTGCTGTCATTTGAGCCAATTTGCTCTGTCTATAATGCAGTTTGCAAAGTGCAAGGTCGTCCCTTAAAAGTTGTATGAAATGCTTTATAGCAGAGAAGCCTTAAAATCTCACTTAAGATCATAAGTGATCAGGAATTAACCCAGTTACATATATAGCATATACTAGAGAAGACTTTCAAAGTTTCTGCAATTGCGGACCACTAAGTAATGTTTGGAGAATGTGGAGACTGCTAATTCCTTCCTTCGAGGGGAATATCACTTCTTTTTAAAAAATCAAAACTCTATTTTATGCTTTAATAATATGCAGTGTTTAGCATATTCAGTGTTAACTCTTATATGTATTTATGAAATGTACAAAACAATCCTCTAAGAGTTCTACTCAGAAATAATAAGGTTTAAAGTATACCTATTAAAATCTGATGTACTGCCACTTTTCATTTCAGTAACTCTTCTCTAAGCACAACTAAATGTAAATCCACCTGTTTGGTTCAAGGTAGAAGCTGATAAGATCACAGGTGCAAAATGCTCACAAACAGCATAAGAATATACCCAACACCAGCAAGAACAAGTAGATTGCCAGTTGCTGTATCTTGTTAGCTAAGCAACAAAATTGTTTTCTTTGGGCAAAAATGATCTCACATGATCAGGTGTTAAGGATTTGCAGCATATATATTCAACAAATTAAACTTTAAATGATGAAAGTATTTTGAATGTCGAATATATACCAGCCATATACCAGCCATTCCCACACTGATGTTTCTCTGTTTAGTTGGAATTGCAGCTTCCAGAATTTGCATCCAGGACCGATTTTAAAATCATAGAATATCTGTAATACAGATATCCACATGAAAATATCTCCAAACAAATATTGATTAGTTGCTGCTTAAATGCGTCCATCAAAAGAAAATCCATTACCTCCACAGGCAACCCGTCTTAAATCTATTTATCATTAGATTTCCCCTAGCATTTGAAAAATAATCTGCTTTAAGATTATTTTTCTATAAACTGCAGTCTGGACAGTAGATAATGATTTTGTCTATAAAATACTTCCATCAAGAACTAGAAGAATATTATCATATCCTCACAAAATTCTCTTTCCCGAGATTAAACCCGTTTTGCCCAATCTCTCTTTCTAGGACCACTTTTCCCTCTTCCTGTTCCAATTTGTTTGAATCTTGAAGTACTGTTTGTCCAAAGCTTGACACAGAACTTTAGGTATAGGCTGACAAATGTAGAGTAGAACAGAATTACTGCCTGTGATTTGGAAACTCACACCGCATACTTAAGCCATTTCTTTATGAGGAACTATCCAAAATGTTTGTCTGTTTAGCTCAGATAGAGAGGCTTATAAAACATAACAGACTTATAAAACATGAGCTCTGGGATATCCAGTCAAGTGGATTGTCATCTGTTTCAGGCCAAATAAGGCCGAATACTTCTATGAAATTACAATATTGATAGTTATTGGTAGACCACCGGCTTAAATAATGGTTTAAAAAAAAGAAAAATATAATTTTGTATATAAAATTTATAAATTTGATAAATAAAAAATGATTAGGGGACTGGAGGCCAATGTGTATGGTGAACAATGGCAAGAACTAGTCTAACAAAGTGGACTAGAGATATGATAGCAGTCTTCTAATATTTGAGGGGCTGTCACAGAGAAGAGGGGGTCAATAGGGTATAGGTATAGAGTCTCCTACTTGAGCAGGAGGTTGGAATAGATTTCCAAGTTCCTTTCCAGCTGTTATTCTGTATTCTGTAAATTTGATGAGAATGTCTGTTGGCAGCTAAATGGAATGTCTTGTTCAGAGGACCTATTTTATCTGCAGAAAAGCTCTTGTAAAACTCTTAGGATGCTGAACTAAAGAGTAATTGTAGGTATGATTCAGTAAGCTCTATTAGCTTTTCTCAGACTCATCTCTCTCCAGATGTTTAGTTTTCCTTAGTTCATATGAGCAATGGAAATTCTGGAATTTGAAGCTCATACATCTGAATCACATTCAGATTGGAGAAAGTTGTCCACTGTTCATAACTTTTATAGTAGAAGCCTATCCTTTATATTTCACTGTCGTTGCTATTGTCATGCAAATGTGCTATTTCATCTTTTCTCATAAGTCCGTATAGGAAATTGCAAACATCCTATTGTAATTAACAGGAAGTATGATTGCTTTTCAGTGACTCATCTGTGGAGTCTCTTCAAATGTATTGTTTCAGCCAGCTGTCAGTATGCAGAAAAGACAGCTAGAATTGCAAGAGAGATGATCCAGTAGATAGATTTGATATTTTTTCCTGTTGAAAATTGGTAATGTGTAAGCATCTAGGTTCTTATCATTCTAATTTAAATGGCCATGCAGCTCATGAAAGCGACTCTGGGTAAAGCGCAATAAAACAGAGCAAATGTTTTAAACTACTAAACAAGTAAAAATTTAAGTGTAAGCTAAAACCATGGGAGAATTGCCTTCAAGATCTTATGTGCAATATAATCATTTCCCTGGCTCCCTATTTCCATGGGATAACATTATGATTGCTTTTTAAAGGGCAAAGACGATGAGTGCATCAAGGAGCAAGCTTCGTGTGAAGGTAGCCTACTTCGGAATGGCTATCCTGCTTGTGGGTTTTGTATCTGCAGTTTTGATAGGAAAACAGGTTAGTATAAAATTGTTACAGGGTTGAAAGTGGAAACAAAAGTATTAATGGATTGCCCATTATTCAATTATATTTCAAAGCTCATTGAAAACAGTGTGAAGACTCTCTGTAATGGTTGACACAAAAATGTGACTTTCCTAGCTCCTGCCAATCAATCTGCAACTGTCCTATAGGATTGCATTACTTTCTGACTTTTGTTTAAACATCTTCCATGCAGTAGGAAACACTTAGGTTGTGTGAGCCAATGAATCAAATGTCAGTTAGTCATCTATCCTAAATACCCAATAAGCCCCTTGGGTGCCTTTGATTAATGTTATTGTATCCATCATTTGTCCAAAGAACTCCAGACCACATACTTTACATCTCCACCCCTGGTGACCCAAGTGATGCTGTTGCTGCCCTCCAGTGGGGAGGGGCCTGATGGGGGACAACAATTTCAGCAGAACCCTGGCAAGACCAAATGGCTTTGGGTGCATGGAACTTCAAGATCTGGGACTCTTAACATATTTAGTTCTGCATGGGGTTGCATTACTCCAGACAGACCCAGTGCATAACTTGGGGGTTCTCCTGGACTCTTGAATTCTGCTCAAAGTCATTGCCAGGAGTGTCTTTGCCCAACTTCATTGTGCACCAGTTGCACCTCTTCCTGAATCGGAAGTCCCTGCACTCAGTCACTCAAGCCCTAGTCATCTCACACCTGGACTATTGCAATGCACTCTAATGGGTTATCCTTGAAGAGTATTCAGAAGCTATAAGTGGTGTAGCATGTAGCAGTGCAGGCAGTTCTTGGGAGCTCAATTGGCCCATGTTATACTGCCATTCCACAAGCTTCATTGGCTGCTGGTTTGCTTTTGGCTGCAATTCAAGGTGTTGATTATTATCTTTAAAGCCCTGTATGGCTTGGGTCCCAGTTGAGGAACTGCTTTACCCCAATGAATTCAGCCCGCCCCATCCATGCCAGCAGAGGGCATGCTATGAATCCTGTCAGCCAAAGAATTCCAACAGGTGGGATCCTGAAGACACTGCTCTGCTGTGGCCCCTTCCATTTGGAACTTCATACCCCCCCAGGTGAGATCTGCACTGACCCTCCTGACCTTCCCAAGGGCCTGAAGACCTTGCTCTATTAGCATGCCTGGGTCCTCAGTGCGGGGGAACTGTGGAGGTGGTTAGTAGATTAAAGACCCAACCTCCCCCCCCGTATTTATGCTTTCTCCCCCCCTTTTAATCAATTTTTAGTATGCTTACTGTTACTATTCTTAATGTTTCTGGTTTTAATGTTTGTAAGCTGCCCAGAATCACCTCCAGAAGAGATGGGCGGCACATAAATCCAAGAGATACAAACTTGAACATGAAGGAGTAACCCAGTAAAACATAGGCTACTCTCCTTACCTCTCTTCTGTTGCAGATTTCAGGCTTGTAGAATTATACACATGTATATCCTTAGAACAATGATTGTAAGTGGAAAAATGGTGGCAATGAAGAGAGAGGTAATATTTGTTGTATTCTTATGAGCCATAGACCAAAGTGATCTGAAGAAGGTCTAGCTTAAAAATGTATCTCTGGCTTATTTTAGGAAGCAGTTATTTTTTGCTCTCGCTATTAGAATAGAATAGGAATAGAGCTGGAAGGGACCTTGGAGGTCTTCTAGTCCAGAGCTTTTCAATCTTTTCACCCATTGTACCACTTTTAGGATATGGCAACATCCGAGTACCACCAGTCGCCTAGCAAGGTGTCAAAAACTTGACCCCCCCAAAAAGGAAAAAAGTGATAAAAGTACAAGTAGCCCTCGACTTATAACAGTTCACTTAGTGACTGTTCGAAGTTACAATGGCACTGAAAAAAGTGCCCCCCAAGTCAAAGCCGAGCAAGACACCTGCCTGCCCGCCCAGCGGCGCTCTTCTTCCTATCTGAGGTTTTCATTGTTGTGAGCATTTCTGTTGAGGATTGGCAGCGGGGGTGGGGGGTGTTTGGTTTTTATTCCCGTCTGCTGGGTTTTGGTCACTTCACATGACCCTGGGACACTGTGACCGTCATAAATATGAATCAGTTGCCAAGCATCTGAATGTAAATCACAAGCTGGAGATGCTGCAACATTCCAGCTGATCGGCGCTTCTTCTGGGCTCAGCAGAAGCACCAGGGCTGCTTTCTGGCTGATTGGTGCTTCTTCAGGGCTCAGCAGAAGCACCAGGATCAGCGCCGAGCTCCAGCTGGAGCCTGGCATTGATCCTGGCGCTTCCACTGAGCCAACAGCCCTGAAGAAGCACCGATCAGCTGGAAAGCGGCACTGATCCTGGTGCTTCCACTGAGCCGACAGCCCAGAAGTGCCAATCAGCTGGAAAGCGGCACTGATCCTGGTGCTTCTGCTAACCCCTGACAGCCCTGCAGCTCCAGCCATCTCTTGCTCAGGCTTGTGCGGTGCTGCCACCGGATCAGCTCATTTCCCTCCCTCGCTACCACTTTTCTAAGATGGTCGTGTACCATCTGCTAGGTGCCAATGTACCACAGGTGGTACCCGTACCACTGGTTGAAAAGCCCTGTTCTAGTCCAGCCCCGTTCGAGCAGGAGAACCTATACCATTTCAGACAAGTGACTGTCTAGTCCAGACATGTCAAACTCGCGATGTCACATGACATCGTGCAACGTATTGAGACGGTTTTGCCATTGCCGGCAATGGGGTGGGCGTGGCTTCCGGATGACGTGTCCGGCCCACGGGCCGGCAGTTTAACACCCCTGGTCTAGTCACTTCTTAAAAACCTCCAGTGATGGAGCGCTCACGATTCCTGAAGGCAAGCTGTTCCACTGGTTAATTGTCCTCACTGTTAGGAAGTTTCTCCTTAATTCCAGGTTGCTTCTCTCTTTGGTCTGTTTCCAATCATTATTTCTTGTCTTGCCCTCTGGTGCTTTGGAGAAATCTGAAATGTTTGCTGATTTACTCTTGTGTTATCCAGTAATCTAACTAGATATCCAGATCTATCTTCTGTCCATTCCTGTGTTAGGAATGTTTTAAGTATTACAGATAGGTGAACATTAAAGCATCTATTTGCCATGCTGTAGAAATAATGACAGAATTAACTGTCTCTTACTTTCCATGTTATGGTCATTCTGCAGGACGTTCAAAAATATAGATCACTACGGTATATGAACCCAAGTGTTGAGCAGATAGAAGAGGCTGCTGAAAGTGCTTCTGCCAAGCCATGATCAAAAAGTTGGTTAGAACTGTTGGTGTGCAAAGCTGGTTTTCATCATGAATTGGAAGAGCAACTTGAGAAACATTTACTTCATTTTTTCACATTTCAAAAAGAGAATTTATAGTTCAATGATACTTCTAAAATTTTCATCCTTTCTCATGGAAAGACTCCCATTTCTGACTAAAACAAAAGCATCCTTTGTTTTTGAAAAGCTGAATCTCTGTATTAGAATGTTTCTTTAAATCCTGGATGCTGGATATGTATTAAAAATCTATGTAACCTGTAAAATACATCCTGCTCTAACAATAAAAGGATCTATCCAGGATACTGAATTCATCTGAACTGGGTAACATATGCATGAACGATAAAATAATTCATACTTATTCCCACTTATCTGATTTTAAATGTAAATTTAAAGAAGCAGTAAATGGTACTTACCTTGTTACTATACTCCCAAGTTGTATCTCTTTAGTATGTCTTATTAATTGTGGATGACTGATGTAGCAGTTGTATCCAAAGTTCTTTCTACTCTTAGGCATTTTTTGCATTTCGTGAAATACCGGTAAGTGTCATGTATGATTTAATTTCAAACCAGAATACTGAATTGACATAAGCCTAAGAAATTAGGAATCATTTCCTGACATTTGAAGAAATGCATGGTATTTAATAAACAATAATCTAACAGCTATAAAGCTACCTAGAATATGAAAACCTTAAGAAATCGTACAGCACACTTTTACTTGCTTCCCAATATTGTTCATGCCAATATTTATTTTAAATGGGAACTCATTTTTGTTATTAAATGAACATTTGAAAAGATGCAAAAGGCTGGAATTTAAAAAATAGTCAGATCCATTCCAAAAGTTGCTACTAAAGTTTAATATGAGTTTTTCATCTAAGTATTAAATTTGATGTTACTGTGTATCATATTTGGCTGGTAATAGCACTGAATCTTAACCTTGTAGTTACAGCATGTGCAGAGTTGGTGTTGAACCAGCTTTGCCCAATAGTTATGGAAGTATAGCTGACAATATTAAAAGCAAAGCAGGTAGCATCAGTTGGAAAGGTCATATTTCATTTTTTTTTGTAATGTAAGGTCAATGGATGGGGCGATGAACTATGGTAAGAAGAGAGTTCAGAAAAGCCTGTTTTGAACATTGGTTTTAATATTAATCTTGACTGAGGAAAGTTGGTCATGCCCAGTACAGTTTCTAATACAGGTAGTCCTTGACTTAACAACAGTTGAGCCCAAATTTTCTGTTAAGTGAGACATTTAAGTGAGTTTTGCCCTATTTTACAACCTTTCTTGCCACAGTTGTAAAGTGAATCACTGCAGTTTATAAGTTAGTAACTCAGTTGTTAAATGAATCCGGCTCCCCCACTGACTTGGCTTGTGAGAAGGTTGCAAAAGGTGATCACGTGACCCTGGGGATACTGCAATGGTCATAAATATGAACCAGTTGCCAAGCACCTGAATTTTGACAACATGATCATGAAGATGCTGCAAAGGTGGTAACTTTGAAAAACATTTTTCAGTAGTGTTGTAACTTTGAACAGTCACTAAATGAACTGTTGTAAGTTGAGGACTACCTGCACCATGGAATGTCTTGTGGAATAGTACAAAAAATCACATCCAAATGCCAAAGAATGAACACCCATGAAGATGAATTCCTATCTGTGAGATTCAGGACAAATACATTTCAGGATTATGCAATAGCAGAACAAATGGGGGAGGAGGCATGTTGGAAGTATTCTCACAAAATGACTTCCTTGATGGGTATGGCCAATCACAAAGGATAAAGTGGAAGGGCATGATATCATCCATTGCTTGCTTCATCTTTTTTTAACGGACAATTGGGGATACATACCAAAATGCCCTTAGTTGAAGCCACTTGCCTTTTTCCATTGCAAAAAAATGTCTATGGGTCTTAGGTGGGCTGGAGCATGCCAATTTCAAAATTAGTTAAATTAAAAGATTCTTTAAAAATGAAGTCAGATTGTCAGAGAACATGGCTGACAGTCAGTTGTCTAATGATACCTTAATAGCAGGTGGCCTACCTTGCTGTTTCAGTGACAATACAACTCAGATGGGATCCCAAGTGCAATGCACAGAAGATATGTTTAAAAGTTTGAAAATTAAAGCATTAAATTTAAATTAAATGCAGGAAAAAATAGAGAAAGAAATATAAATTAAAAATAAGATGCAGCTCAACTTTTCATAAATGATCAAAGGAGAACTGGAGTCCCTTGTGCATTATTAATGGAACCATAAAGGCTTTACTAAAATCTCTTCTGTGCTTTATTCAGCACGAAATCTGTATCTGGGGCACAAAAAGGATTCTCTATAATAACTAGATCACTGTGGGATACTCTTGGCAACCTATGCTCAAATTCTTACTGTATTGTGCTTAATAAGAATGTTACTGTATTTTTCCGTCTATAAGACGCACCCTTGTATAAGATGCTCTGGCATGCAAGTTTCTCTGCGCCGAACAGCTGAGCTGGCAAATCTGGAAGTTCGGCCAGCCGACGATCTTGCCCCCTCCCCTTCCCGTTAGTGGCAAGCCCACAGGGGCTTGACACCTGCACAGGTGGCATGGCAACTCATACAGGCATGCCCTGGGCTGCAGAGGTTACCATTATTTTTGCGTGTATAAGACGCTGCACTTGTATAAGACGCACCTGATTTTTGAACAGGGTGTTTGCAGGAAAAAATAGCATCTTATACACGGAAAAATACGGTATATAGACCATGCATTTCATAAGGCAACATCCAAGGTGCTAAACTGCAGGTTAGTAACTGTTTTCACTTAGAATTTTGGTCAGAAGAACAAAATGACATTTCACTAGGACACACAAGATCTGTCTCTTCCCGATTGCAGATTTTCTTAGCTGTTAATTGCAAACTATTTGGCAGAAGAGCCAATTTTCCATTGGGGCTGTCCTTACACAGCAGTTACGTTAACCATAGTGCTGTCCATACATACTTATCAATGACATTCTAGCAACTGGATAGCAACTTGAAATTCAAATTCTCATTATTTTATTTGACATTTCCCCAAAAACTATGACAAAGATCATCTCATCTGCCTTAATGCTAAATTAAATCTGCTGTTGTATTTTTGGGATTTGTCAGTGACGTGTAACTTTTTCTTTAAAAATTACACATTTTTCTTAAGACAAAAAGAAAACATTTTATGAAATGTAATTCCTCACTTGAATAATGCTGATTATGTTCTGTAGTTTTGGCCAAGCTTACTGGAAGAACCAGATTCTTCCTTACTTTCCGGTTGAAAATGTCCACTGCCATTCAGGTTCAAGCTACAGGTAGTTCTCTACTAAGGATCAGTTGTTTAATAACCAAAGTTACAACATTTTCAGAAAGGGTGCTTTATGATCTGTACAGCACTTCCGGCCATTGCAAAACATCACCCCAATGGTCACAAGACTGAATTTCAAGCAAAAAATACCCTTTCTGCACAATGGATTCAGACTTACAACCACATGATTCACTAAATGATGACTGTAAAAATGTTCTAAAAATTTGGTCCAGTCATGTGGTATCTTGACATATAACTGCAATAATTAAAATTCAGGTCCCAACTGTGGTTGTAAGTTGAGGACTGTAGAATAATAGAAGAGAGATAGCCTTAATTTTTGAAATTGGCCCTGAATTCATGAAGTGATGGCAAAGTACAGGCTATCATGGAAGGAAAAGAACAGTTCTGCCTTCCACATTCATTTTCCTTCACTCTTCTGACCTACCTTGCAACTATTAAGAGCAGGGGTCCCCAACTCTCAGGCCACAGCCCGTTTGGAACTGGGCCACACAAGTGGTGGGCGAGCATGCGGAACTCCACTCGTGTAAGCAATGGGTGCTCATACAAGCAGTGGACACTTGTATGAGTGCACAAAGCTCCACTTGCACAAATGGAGCTGTGCATGCACATGCACCTGTCTCTCACACAGAACCATGCCATCTCCCCTCCCCCAGGCAGCCAAGCCAGAAAGGTATTCGAGGAATCTTTGCTACTGCCAAAAATCTTGTGACTATAACTGGATACGTAAATAAGATAATAAATCCAGTGTTGGCTTTCCCTGTTACCTACAGAAAAGGTTTACAAGCACTTCAAAAAAGATCTTTCCAAGCTCCCCCAGCCATTTTCTGAATCACTTTTAAGATAACATAATAATTACAGTCCTCTCACATTCCATTCAATCCACCCAGTGCACACCTGAAAAGTATTGACACTTGTTTCAGGAGTTTATCTCCTCTCCTTGCTCCACATTAAAAAAAACAAAGAACTACCTTCAACAGGTTACATAACTAGCAACATTTTGCAGCCTCGGCTATCTAAAATACTTCAATTATACAACTCTGGACTGTACAGTCTACTTCTACATTTCACCTATATGATAAAAAAATCTAATTAGCTCTTCTATAAACACATACACACTCCATTCATTTGAATATATGATTTAATTCACCCTTTTAAAGAGAGAACTGTCATTATTTACTAGAAGAAACACCAATGCACCATTATTGTTCTAGGAGCTTCAGAGAAAAACTTCCACTGTGAAGTTTGTGTAAATATACATATATACATACACATCAGCAACTGTCCCAGAAGAGTATGTGCATGTACAAGCTAAATATGCACACACTTATTAGTACTGGTGTACGTGATATGTTTCAGTATCACATACACACTTCATTGAAGCTAATTTACAAAATATCTAGCTCCTCTCTCTAGAACAACTATGCAATAAAGTACATGATTTAAAGCATATTATATAGAAATGACATGTAGTCGGTAATTTACCCTTTAAAAACCCAGCCACACAAAAAAAATCCTTGTGGAAATGAAATGGCCTTTTCTTTTCATCAGTGTTTCTACCATTCTTTAAGAAAGATGATTATATAAAATTAAAAATATTGTTAAAGATTGCTCATTTACTTTTGAACTACAAACTGCATATCAGGGGTCTTCAAATGTGGCCCTTTTGACTTGTGGACTTCAACTCCCAGAATTCCTCAGCCAGCGTGCCTGGCCACGTTTGAAGACTCCTGCTGCATATTGTTTACTTTCCTATGTGTAACAGATTATTTTACCCATCTTATTTCTGGTGTTAAAAATAGGGATCTCTTCCCAAACCAATCCTAGCCAATCAGGAAGCATGATTGTCACATCATCTGGAGTCAAACATGTTATGTAGACAACAATTAGCATGAGCCCATAAATTTCTTCTCTCACTTGGGGCCCAACAATCTGGACAATCAACAAAATGGACAATTAGTTTATTGCGAAATGTACCATCCTAGCCATCTTAGCTCTATTTTTAAAATCCTAAGATCAAACAAAATGGAAATTCAACTGGCATTGTAACCTATGGTACACCTTCAGCATAAGAGAATACAGTAATTTGGATTGAGGTGGCTGCTGAAGAAT